CCCAATTTTTCTGCTTATATTTAATTTTTGTTAACTGAAGCATATAACTAAGCATTCAAATGCCTATCCAGAACTGGTTAAGCAGGACTAGAGTGTTGCTGCTTACCTGGCAAGCATCTCCATCCAAGAGCTCACCCTCAGCAATTCGTCGTTCATATTTCACTAGAGGCCCTCCTCTGGTCTCCACTATAATTGAATCAACCAAATCGAAAGCCAACAACTTTAAGAACATATGATTAAAATATTCACAAAAAGTACACAAAAAGAACTCCTCATAAGACCATATACCTCCATTAGTTGCTGTAGCAACATCGGCAAACATGGCTCTTGACGACATGTAATATGGTTGACTATGTCTAATAATACCACCATTGTAGGACAATTTGCATAAACACCCTCGACTTATATCAGTCGAAAAATGCTCTCTTCTTACAAGACTACTAAGCACATTATCTTTTCTATACCACAGAGCCGATCTAATTTGCCTCACAGACTGCAGAGCTTTCCTCATGTTGATTCCAAACAGGAAAGACTGCAACTTTATTCCTCCCTATCAACAACTTCCCTATCAAAAACACCAGTTTCTGAAAATAAGCAAGTAGCAATAAATAATTAGTGAAATATATACCCACTTCTAACAAGACAAGACAAACAATTCTCCCAACATAAAAATTTGAACCATTGATAAAAATTTAATCTTTACATCCGCACTTACAAGTTGGAAAAAAAAATTAATTCTTTTGACCCTTAATTTAAATCTATAATACAGTTGGAAAAGTAAATAAACCAACCAATAATAACCAAGCTAGACAAAGTATACAACAACAACGACAACAAAACATACTAATTTCACAAGTGGGGTCTGGAAAGGGTAATGTGTACGCACAACTTATATCCCTGCCTGATTCCGGTAGACCCTCGACTCAAACAACTATTAACAACTCAATTGTCTTAAATTCCAAAGAAGAATTCACTTAACTTGACCATAGCAATCCAAAAAGAATCAATAAAGATCTAATGAATTCACCATATAAGTTAACAGGGAAAGAACAAGAATTAAAATTTCAAGAAAAGATTAAATGAATTCACCTTATAAGCTAATTGAGCCAATACCCCGAGAATTGGCAAAGAGCTGAATCTTCAAGAAAAGTTAAATAAAAATCTGATCTTGGAAAAAACTAACAGCAACAAAACTCACACACACACAATTGCATGCTGATTGCTGAAGTTTTTTTCTGTGCGTGTAATTTTCTACAGATAGAATAGGATAAAGAAGACGAAAAAGATTTAATTTTTCTAATATGGGTGTCTAAGTTTTTATTCAAAAACCAAGAAATTAGAGAGTTTCAATTTTCAAGACCCTGTTTTTCTGG